GTAACCATTTTGTCCTACCTCCAATACCACTATAAACTCTTTTAAATGCCCGAATGAAATCGTTTTTCATGAACCAACATTAATTCACAAACAAATCGAGCCCTTAACAGCAGTGGCGTGCAGACCTATGTAGATGCCCGGGGCAAAATCAAGCGGAAGATGCCCCCATAAATACTTATATATATATATATATATATATATATATATATATATATATATATATATATATATATATATATATATATATATATATATATCATTTATATTAAAAAATGTACTTATCTTAATTGAGATGAAAACGTTGACTACAGCCAGCTAAATCCAAATGGAATGAATGGTTGGAACTTGGGAGAAGGGGGGGGGGGGAGACAATTGCGGGACGGGTCGTGGTGGGGAGGGGGGGGGCTGTGATGCACTACAAAAGAGTCTCATCCGGTATTGTATTACCACAAGGGACCGCAGGGACAAAAACGCTGTCCGTGTCTGCAATTAGGGCGTCAGATACGCCTTTATTAATGGGATGTTTCTCTCTTGGCCTGTTTAGGAATTCCTGTAGTGTAACTAATACAGGTGAGAGTGTGCATTGAACTAGAGATGTTTCAGATTTTTCTCTCTAAACCACTTGGTCAAAACGTCAACTCTTTAAAGAGATGGGTGATGCTAGCTAGATACTCTCAAACTATCTTAACCTTGAATATAACAGAAGTGTACCTTGGTTGGCTAAGGGGTCATCCATTTATGACGTCCACACATTTTTGGGATTTTGGACCCCCCCCCCCTCTTCCCTGTCCACAAACGTCCACTTTTGACGGACCCCCCCCCCCCCCCATCCGGTGGACGTCCACACTGACTATAAGTTTTTGCATAATCTTCTTCCACTATTACTCAAGCTACTGCATTTAGTGTGTATATACTCTGAGTGTATATAGTATTACAAATACTGGTACAAATGTGTTTTATTGTCCTTCGTGTCCCACACCTGAACAGGGACAGCGTGCTAACCCTCCCCCCCCCCTCCCCCGTCTCACAACTGAACTGGGATGACCCAGCCTACCTAGAGAAGTGGTCGCCTGGTATTTGAACTGGGATGCAAATGTGGGAAACTTGTAATTGGATATCTTATTGTATTCCAGGTTAAGCCAGGGCATAGACCCAAGCTGGGTGGTTAAAGGGCCAGAGAGATAGGATAGTTGAACTTTAGCTTCGCTAGGAAATATTTTTCTTTCACACTACCAAAAATAATGTTAGATTTAATGTGTGGACGTCCACATTGGGCCAACCCCCCCCCCCTCCCCCTGTCCACACGCGTCCACAAAAGTCAATTTTTTTCGGACCCCCCCCCCCCCCCCCCCCCGTGTGGACGTCATAAATGGATGACCACTAAAGCTGCCAGCTTAAAAAACATTTCTAAATCGGACTGTGTTTAAAAATCCACTATGCTATGTCAGACCCTCCCTAGGCTTGGACGCGTTTTCACAAATTTAACACCCAAGTACGTCTGTCTAGTTCAGGTGGGGGATTATCCACTAACGGCTTCCATAGCCTAAAAACCCACACCGCATCCCCACATTTCATTACATCATTATGGGCTCAATAACTCTATAGATAGCTCTACTATTAACTGAAATAAAACTGGCTCTGCATGTGCTCCCAATTACTTTAAAGAAAGCTCTACTCAGAGTTAAAAACTTTAACTTTAACACTACTTAAAGCATGCTCCTCCTATTTGTAAAAATCAATATGGGCGCAATTATTCTGAATGATATCATTACAATGTATCGAAAACAATATGTTGATTCGTATTCTTAAGATTGTCGCTACAGTGTATCAAAAACATTATATGGGCATTCTTATTCTTAAGTATGCTTATATAATGCATGAAAAAAAAAATATACTAATGGCTGTCAGTGGCTTAGCTACCGTAAAGCTAGAGTAAGCAAGGCATAGGGGCCCAAGGCAAATAAGGGCCATTTTCCTTCTTTTAAAAAGTTAAAACTTTTACATTGGAATTTTGATATTTATTTTATATAAATAATTTTTAAAAAATTAATGAAATCAAGTTCTTTTTTTCTACTGTAGAAATAATTTAATTTAAAAAAGGCCCCAAGTCCTTTCTTAGTGTACAGGCAGTGGCATTCAGTGTGGGGGAGGGCGGGCGACTAACATTAACATTGTTAATTTTTGCATAGGGGACCGAAAATCCTAGCTACGCCACTGAATGCTGCCCATACAATTTAACAAAAAAAAGTTATTACACTGCAAATGGCCATATATTTCACCAAAGATGCCCCAAAAATTTATAATAATAATATGGGCATAATTACCCTTTGGATGCCCTTAAAATGGATAATAATGAAGAAGTACATTAAAAAATAGCTTTAGAGATGCCCCCAATGTTAACAACGATGATTGGTGTAATTACTGTTGCATGTCCTTCGAGTGTAATACATGAATATAAGCTTAATTACTTTCAAGATGCCCCTACAATATATAAAATGAAGATGGGCATGCTTACTGTATGGATGCCTTTAAAATGTATTATAAAGTGAAGTGGGCATATTAGTAAATGCTCATAAAATATATTATAATGAATATACGAATAATTACTTTAAAGATGCCCCTATAGTGTATAAAAATAAATATGATTTAATTACTCGACGGATGTCCTTGAAAATGAGTATAACGAATACGCGCATATTACTTTAAAGATGCCCTAATACAGTGCATGGGAATAACTTGGTCACAAGTACTCTAAACGATGCCCCTACACTATACTAAATAAATATGACACACATTTATTAATGGAATATCATTGACTTCCGCAGGACTACCCTTCACTGATGCCCGCTGTTTCTATATAAGTTTTGCCATACGGACAGTGTAATGTTAAAACGGCTGACAGACGATTGAGTGTTACAATTTTTTGAGTGAGATCGCAAAACATATGGAAAGTTACGATGACACCATGACACGACATATCACAACAGTTTTTAAATTACTAAAAAAAAAAAAAAAAAAAAAAAAAAAAAAAAAAAAAAAAAAAAAAAAATTAACTAATTAATTAAAAAAATTTTTTTTACCTCCGCTGGATGCCCCCCAGTGGTGGATGCCCGGGGCCTGGGCCCCGTCCGCCCCCCCCCCCTCTGCACGCCACTGCTTAACAGCTAAATTCCACCAATTCTAAAGTTTTGATCATGTTTAATTTACAAAAGAAAAGATCTGTTGCTTAAAAGCGAGCACGGAAGTGTAAATGTATGATATACATGATGTTTACATGATAACAGCATTTTGTTTTGATAACCTACACAAGCATACTGCAGGTAGGAAGGTACAGCGTGGACACTTCTCCCCACACACTGAGTTGGAACAGCCTATAACCGACTCAATTATGGATGTCATAGATAGATGACCCTTAAATTAAAAAATACTATATCTTTTAATAGATAAACTAATATAAAAATAAGGTTGCCGAACAAGAGATGCATACGTTGTATTACATAAGAGTGTTGCATAAGCTAAAACTAAAACGGTATTGTCAGCAGAGGCGTAGCGACCCTTCCCGGCGTCCGAGGACAAATTTTTCGATTTGCACACCCCCCCCCCCCTCAAGATTTTGATTTGCACCCCCCCCCCTCAAAGTTTCGATTTGCACCCCCTCCCCCCTCGAGATTTCGATTTGCACCTCCCCCTCAAACTTTCGATTTGCACCCCCCTCAACCTTTCAATTTATTTTTCCAACCCATATGTCCCCCGGGTACATATGTCCCCCCCCCCCCTCGCTACGCGACTGTATATTACACTTTCTTATACTACCTTGGTAAGTAAAGTACCGTTTCGAGGCTTATCGTACATGTTTAATTGTTTCAGTGATGGGATAGTGTGGTCAGCATTACTGCGAGACTTCTTCTTCGTTCTTAATTTTAGTATACGTGGCCGTAACGTGGCAACTGGTTATGCGCCATTGGGGCCAATGACTTCGATTTCAGCCTGCTTTTCTTTTTGGATTTACTTTACTCAACCAATAGCAAACTACAAGGCAACAGTTGTTTGATTTTGGAGTTGTCTCTCCTAGAAGAGTGGCTGTCCCCAGCTAACGAGCCTCACCTGCCCGAGGTTCGAACTCAACCATGAGCTTTACCGACTCGACCACGCCCCATATTGCGTTCCCTTTCATACCGTGAGTCGGGTACCCATCAGAAGACGAGGCTACCTAATAGATCCCAATATAACGAAATAAGAAAACACCATCCCCCTTTACGATGGTGTTGTATATTGTTGACGTCACGTCAATTCTAATTTTTGTGACAAACAATGTGATACATAGATGAAGGGTTTAAGAAATGTAACGTTCCATTTATTTTATTTTTATTATCAGTAATGATTTTCATTAGTCAATAGGGCCCCTATAGGGGTGGGGGTGACAACTGAGATGAGTTTTTGTTCAATGTGTATGAAAGGGAATTAATGCTGGATTTACAAAAATTGTTTTTTAAAATACCTTTTTGTCTCCCATTATTTAAAAATAAACAATTCTTTAAACTTAGCCTAAATCTAATTAATTATCCGTTGTTTTTTTTTTAATTTTATCCCCTACATGCTGGTAGTATGTGCTTAGTAAAAATGTTGGTTGTTTTAGAGTTGGGGCGTGACTTACTCTACATGTAGGTCTAAAATAATATAATTTGTAAAATTAGGTCTAGATTTTAATTAATTTAGGGCTACCGTTTAATTAATAAGTTCAATTACTCACTAGTCCTAGCCAATCATAATTCAGTTAATTATCACTTTTAAACTGCATTCTTCATATGCTTCTAGAATCGAGATAGATCTTCTAATTCTATTTGTAATTTGTGTGCATGGTCCGCTTAGATTGAAGAACGTTTGTATCAAGTTTTAATTTCTAATGTTTGTTCCGTTAGTTTAGCTAGAGATTTTAGTGAAGCTAAAAATAATATTGGGAATACCCTTTCAATTTCCCTAGAAAATCAGAGCTTGAGGCTGGTCACGATTTGACATACGTGGAAGTGGAAGTGGTCAAATTGCTGAAAATAATAAATAATATTAAATAAACCTTCGGGCCTCAGCTGTGACTTTCTACCACATTAAGTAAATAAGAAGTTGGAATCAGAATTCTTGTTAGTGTTAGATCTAGAACCTATTATTTACTTTGTGACTTGTGTTTAGTTTTAGTGTGGCCTTGCCTTATTATTTTAATTATTCTTATTAGGCCCTATTTTTAAGTAGTATTTTAGGCCTCAGAGTCGTAGCGACCCTTCCTGGGGCCCGGGTAGAAGCTTTCGATTGGGCACCCCCCCCCCCCTCAACCTTTCTATTTATTATTCCAACCCATTTTGGCGCCCTGCCCCCTCCCCCTCGCTACGCCTCTGTTAGGCCTAGGTCCCCTACAAAATTTATATTTGGTAATCTATCGTTTTAGGTACGTAAAATCGCCCGCGACTAGTAATGTGAAAAACAGGTGACTCCTTACATTTTAATAATTATTTCACATTTTGAGGAGGATTTATGTTTTGAAAAATACAAAAATGTTTCCTTGTTTCATTTATGTACCTGTTTTTAAACAATTGAATTAAAACTTTTCAGTAATAAATGAACACCAGCGATGTTTCCAACAGATGCAAACATGCTCATTTACTATAGCAGCCATCTTGTTAAATTTTTATTGACATATAGGCCTAGTGCAAGATTCAGGCGGAAGTCACTCTATTTTACAAATGGCCGCTGTTTATATAGCAAATCTTGCTTGCAGGCACTGCTGTTTAAAGTTAATTTCTGGCCTATATTGATATATTTAGCCATTGATTTAGGTTTATTATTCATTTATCTATAATATTTGACACAAACATATCACAATATACTTCTATTACAGCCTTGACAATGAGGTAACGTTTTCGTACATTAATAGCCGCGGGCGATTTTACGTACCCAAAACGATAGATTACCTTATATTTTTAATTATATAGTATAGGCCTATGATGGCGACCTAGGCCTATTTATTTATTATTAATTCATTTTTAAAACATTTTGTTTTTAATGTTTAGATACATTGGAGTCTGAGATTCAGATTTTTGTGTTCCAACTTGGACTCGACTAGTTAGGCCTGCGCTGCCTGCTGTAGCCTTCACTACTACTAGATCTAGATCTACTAATACTACTATTGCACCAACAGAACTGATTATGACAGCTCTACACAACAGACAACCATTTAAAGAACAGCAAATTTTTTGTGTTTTAGTAAGTATGAGATTTTGAATTCTTTATCTAATTATAATAACTAGCCTAATGAATGATGATTGGTAATAAAATTTCAGTTCATTGACCAATTATTCCATATATTTAAATAATTTAATTACGCTTATAGTATAAGATAGGCCTACAGCATAAAGTATTAAAGTAGAACAGGAAAATACAAATGTAAAATTGTTTTAAGCATTTTAACAAAAAATCTCACTTTCCATAAGAATTACACTTAACAAAAATAAGTTTTAACTGCATAAAAGCATTTTTTGTTTAAGACAAATAAAATGGTTTCTATATAGCCTACAAAAATACATAAATGCCGTAAAGATGAAAATAAACTAATTTTGAAAGTTGATATATCAAAAACTGCCTGGAGTAATAAAGATACACAATATTTAAACTATTTAGATTCAATAGCCATAAAAATTGCATTTAAACCCTACTCAACAGGCACAGGAGCTGTCGTGCTTGTTTCTCCACCACTCACCCACTATCGAGGAAAACAGTGTCTACGTGTATGAACCAACAAAAGGAAAACTGTGGTGGCTCGTTGTGGACTAAATTTAGCCATAAAAATTATGTGAGTTCTTTTTTACAATAATTTACGTAATCAGTTTATTAGCATTTGTTTAGGTACTTTTGTTGCTATTGTGATTGTCTCTTCAGTTTTTATACCAGCTACCAGCTAATTTCAAGTCTAGTTGGTTAAAAGTTAAGAAAAGTAAAGATTCCTCTTTACTAAAGCAATTCATATTGCAGATAAAAAGTAAAGTACGTGTTTCTTGACCTCAGCATATGAAGGGATGGTGTGGTCAGCACTATGCCCCACCACCTTTACTTTCCCCAATATAAGTCAGGTACCATCAGAGCTGAGTGGACTCAGGGACGTAGTACAGTCACAAGTCCAAACTTGATACCTTCTGGCTAGTAGCCCAACACTGCAAAGTATTTAGTTTAATTCTTAAAAGCATTAGAATTCTTGACATTAAAATACAATAGATTAGCAATGGATGGCATGCATTCCTTAAAATATATGTATGATAATTTTTATCTTAAAGTTGTAATTTTTTTTAAAAATACAAAGTTGTATTTGCAATCACAGGTAATGAAAGTACCAGCTGATATTAATCTTACAAAGTTTGATCGTCCGTGATTGGTCAAAGAACTTTCCAGTGTGTTGTTTTTTTCTGAGTTTGGGAAGAGTGACCAGCATAGCAAGTACTGATTAAACTCAACAACTGTTCAAATAATTCAACCCTAATGCTGGTTTGTGTGGACTTAAGTAACATTAGAAAAAAAAACACAATTATAATCATTTTATTCAAACATAATTGTGTGGGAATATAATTCATTGTGTATTACGTACTTCCTACAATCGGACTTCAAATACACATTTTCTAGCTCAAAAACATTTAGTTGTTCATGTAATTTCAAGTTTTCAAAAAAAAAAAATGTTGAATAGTTTTGTTTAATGAAAAAACTCATAAAAGAAAAAATATAAATTTCACAAGTTAATAACATCTAGTTTTGATAAGATCAAATTTACTCCAAAAACAAATTCTATAGACCCTCTTCAATACTGGGATTTTAAATAGCAAGAACTTTCCCTTCACAATGTCTGAACCTCAACAGACCCAGGCTAAGGAGCCAGAGGTTAAGAGAGCTAAGCTGGCTAAAGCAGGAGACATAGAGTCTGAACCTCAACAAACCCAGGATAATGAGTCAGAGGCTACAGCCAGTCTGTCTATAACAGGAGACGTAGAGTCTGAACCTCAACAGACCCAGGATAATGAGTCAGAGGCTACAGCCAGTCTGTCTATAGCAGGAGACGTAGAGTCTGAACCTCAACAAACCCAGGATAATGAGTCAGAGGCTACAGCCAGTCTGTCTATAGCAGGAGACGTAGAGTCTGAACCTCAACAAACCCAGGATAATGAGTCAGAGGCTACAGCCAGTCTGTCTATAGCAGGAGACGTAGAGTCTGAACCTCAACAAACCCAGGATAATGAGTCAGAGGCTACAGCCAGTCTGTCTATAGCAGGAGACGTAGAGTCTGAACCTCAACAGACCCAGGATAATGAGTCAGAGGCTACAGCCAGTCTGTCTATAGCAGGAGATGTAGAGTCTGGACCTCAACAAACCCAGGATAATGAGTCAGAGGCTACAGCCAGTCTGTCTATAGCAGGAGACGTAGAGTCTGAACCTCAACAGACCCAGGATAATGAGTCAGAGGCTACAGCCAGTCTGTCTATAGCAGGAGACGTAGAGTCTGAACCTCAACAGACCCAGGATAATGAGTCAGAGGCTACAGCCAGTTTGTCTATAGCAGGAGACGTAGAGTCTGAACCTCAACAGACCCAGGATAATGAGTCAGATGCTACGACATCCAGTCTGTCTATAGCAGGAGACGTAGAGTCTGAACCTCAACAGACCCAGGATAATGAGTCAGAGGCTACAGCCAACCTGTCTAAAGCAGGAGCCATAAAATACAAATCTAGCCCAAACGATCATTCAAAACTGGGAATGATAAAAATGCGTCGCTCTGTGTCGATTGACCACAACCACCATGATGCAATGGAACGTGAGAAAACATTCCCAGAGAATTTTGCTGATAAATCTCAACATGCCCAGTCGGGTTATATTTACCAAACAGGTAAATATAAAATTGCATTTATATAAGCAAGGTACTCTCTATAAATTAGAGAATTTTCCAATCAGGCTTTGGTTACTTCTCATTTATTTTGAAAAATCTATATTATATTGTAAGGGCTTAAAACAGCCTTCAGAAAAGGGCTATTACAGAAGGTTGTTTTTTTTTATTGAAAATTACCATTTTTATGTTTATTTAGTTGATACTGTGATTTTAGTTGAGTGAAGCTATTCTATTAAAGCTTAGTGCTTTAATTATAGATGTTACTTAAGTGATGTGCTATATGTATGTATATATATATATATATGTATATATGTGTGTATATATTTATATATATATATATAATATTTATTAGTGTTAATAAAAGTCCAATTCCTGATTGACACTGTTGTACGTACATAATAAAGAAATACAGTTAATTTTCAAAGAGTTAATTAATAGTCTATTAAGTAACATTATGTAACATTTTATGTCATAATACATTTTCTTTGGGTCTTGACCTACGTGAAATGTTTAAAATAACTTGGTCTGGTAGAAGTATTCAAAATTTCGTGTTAATGCCAGCCCTATTCCAACAGATGGCAACATCCAGTGCTACAGCTGTGGGTCTATGATAGAAGAATCGCATGATGAAGCTTGTGTGTTCACACAAATAACTACAAAAAGTGATAAAGAGAACTTCCAGGTATGCTTGCAAAAATAAATGTGTTACGTTAATTGGTGTATATTTGCTTAACTTAATATTATGTTAGGTATTATTTACTACAAATAAATAAAACTAAACAGAATTAGTTTTTAAATTTATGAATCATTATTCTTGTGGATGAAAACTTCCCAATTAAAATATTTGTTGTAAATTTTTGTAACAATGACTGATGCATTTTATAATTAATATATAATTACACTTTTATTTTCTTGCAAATATACAAATACAGTTTTTATTCAATGAGCTTCACAGAACCTACTTGAAGCCTCCCCTACAATAGCTGTTAGATTAAAATGATAATAAATGATGAAAATATGTTTATTGCTCTTTAAGGAGCTGGTTAAACTTTATAAGCAGGAAGTCGGGAAGGGGGATTAAAAAAATCCTCTAAAATTAAATCACTTGGCAGAGAAACAGTCTGCTAATATTGTTAATTTATTTTTTCTTCAACTTTATTATAAACATGTTAATTTTTCAGTTAGAGTTATTATTATTTGGAAGGAAATTAATTATTCTGCTATGTGATTTTTAGAGGAGTTGGGAAGTTATTTTGATTTATTTTTTTACTGCTCGTGCTGCTATTCTAGAAATAGCATTTTAAAAAATTGCCTTGCTTAATTTAAACATTCATAGAACTGCCTCATTAAATTTTTTTTCATCTTGTAATGTTTACTAATGCAAATAACTGCATAATATGTTTACAAAGTATTCTTTTTTAAGTAGACTGTTGACATATCCTTTAGTCAAAAAATTGTATCCTCATCTGAATTAAAATTATAGCCAAGGCTTTGAGTTACAGAATTTTAGGCACTTCCATCGATTTTTTACTTTCTTGTGTATGAAGTAAAGAGGAAGAACTGTAATCGTGCAAAAAAAAATTGAAATCGAGATTTTCACAGATCTTGATATTTTACCTCTCCCTGAGTAGGAAAGACTTAGTTTTGCAATTTTGTCGGAATGTCTGTGTGTGTGTGTGTCTGTGAACACGATAATTTGTGTACAATTACAGTTAGGTTGATGAAATTTCATATTATAAGTATAATATCAAATGTGTACTTCTGTATCAACTTCTCAGTAATTTCCAGTAACCGGAAGTGGAACTTATTCTACTTTCGGTTTTTCAAAAGCCTTTAACTTGAGTGCTGTTTCTGATAGACAAAATTTCACCATAAGTGAAAGATCTAATTCTGTTTTCTATGAAATTGGTGCACAATTTTTCTTTCTACAAGATTCTATTCTATTTTTTTTAAATTTAGTATTAAAAAATGGATTAAAAACATTTCTCATTCCGCATAGTGTTATATAAGAATATTCAAGAAACTTTATGGGAGGTCTCTCCCTCTTTATTTTAACAATGATAATAATAAAGTGCTATATTATATTTTATATTTTTGTATTTAACAGATCAATAATAACAAAATAGACACCAACGGTAAGAAATTAAAAATTATATTTGCATTGTGCTTAAATTAAACCATAGTATGTTGTTTTTAATAGTTTCTGACAGGAAAATACTATATTTAGTTTTCTTATGTTTTTAATTCTAGATAAATATTTTAAACTGCTATCTGTATTTATTTCTATTTGGTGGGCAATTCTTCTAATCATTAGTTTTTATAATAGTGTTTTACATGTAGCTTACATTAAATAATTGCTTTTCTTTTCAACTTCTCTTTTTTCTATATCATATTTGCTTACCAATACAATATTTTAAAGCATGTTTTTTAAATTTATTTTTAGGTGGACTAATTTGTCCTTGTAAGTCTGCTATTAAAGCTATCCTCTACTCCAACTGTGGCCATTTACTTTTCTGCTCTAAGTGTTTTCTACAACAAATCCAGAAGAATACTGCAGAAGACATTGTAAGATTTGGACATGAACAGGTTGAAAATAATTCAGAATTTAGCGTGAAGTGTCCGAGCTGCAGTCAAGACTCCAGCCATGTTGTGGTGGTGAAAGTAAAAGAATAAAATCAATGGACCAGAGACTTTTGGTTAACAGACTAAGATCATCTCCAGGGCCCTTTAGTGTACAAACTTAGATCCACTCAGGTGCCCTTAAATTATGAACTCTGATTGTGGGGGCCTTGGTTTACAAACTTTAGTCATTTCTTGGACAGTGAATATTTATTAAGGATGTACCATTGCAAGGCAAGCTTCCAGTGGTTCTAGGCTCACAAAAAAGTCAGTAGGGGATGAATCAGTCATGTATATTAGTGCATAAATATTTTAACAACATATGGAGTTGATGATGAATGCTGTAGATATCAAAATTATCCCACAAAAAATAAGATAAAGCAAATATATTTAGATGAAAAAATTAAAATATTTCAAGAAAGTTGACTGACCATCAGTCCCCCTTTAATCTGTTTATGTTTTAATAGCTTTTTGTAAATGTTTATCTTTGTTATACTTTTGCTTCTAAGTTGCTTTATCTTAGTGTAAGGTTTGCCAAACCCCACTTTCATTACATTGGGACCACTGTGTTTAAAAACAATGTTACCCAGCGAAACTGGAATTTTTCTAAAAATGTTGAAGGCAAATGAACTGATCTAAATTTATCTGTGGAATATCCTGAAATTTAAATATTGCACCTGAAGTCTCAGAAAAACAGCATATTTTTATAGCGTGATACTTACATAGTTTTACTTCGGCACAATCACACTGTGCCTATCTCCGGTGACTTCCTTTTTTTAAAAATTAGAATGTGTTGGTGTTGGGAAACTTTCGCTCAAGTCAATGATTGGGTGGATAGTGAACCAGTTCATGACTGAATAGTTGTTGTGGAAATTCACTCATTGTAAATTGAAAAGTTAACAAACTTGTAATTTGTTGTCATATGTCCATCCATAGGTACAACATACATTAAATAAATAGCTACTTAATTTACTTAGGCTCAGTATTGTTAAGAAAGAAAAATTTCAATTTATTTATAAAATTTGTTAAAAGTTTACATCCATTCCTTTTTGTGATATGTAAGTGTAATGAAATTGGAAAAAAACAAATTCAGGCAAGAGAAAATGTTTAGCCTGTAGTTAAAATAGATTCCATTAACATGATGCATATTATTTAATGTTTTAATATAATTCAACTGCTGTTCAAAGTATTTTTATTTTTTTTGTCATTTGTGAAAGCCCTTCTTTAAGTTTTGAAGTAAAATTAAAATGAGTTTAAGACCAGTTCAGTAAACCTAATAAAAATGTACATCAAATTTTTTATTATTAAGGAACAAAAGAAAACCATTTTCTAACTCTCTACAATAGTTATAATTATTTCGCACTATTACAATTTTGTGATAAAGCTAAAAACACATAACAATGGTATAAGTACAGTATAAGATTTGTATTCATTATTTTTGTTTTATGCACAAATTCTGCATTAAAAACTTTTCAAATACAAATTATTAACATGGTTGAGAAAGAAATTAACCTTTTACTTTTTAAAAGAAAATTTCATAAATATTTCCTTTGGTGGAGTTACACTTCTCTAAAAGTTCCATAGCTCAATTTGTCTGTCCTATTATTCAAATTTCACAATTGAAATAATATGATTTTTTACTTATTAGACTATAATAACTTAAAATAACATTGAGGTTCTACTTTCTTCATTTCATGGTGAAGGGCAATATTCATGTGAACTTGTTACTCATACATATGAAACACATTTCTAATTGTAAAAACCTCATTATAATTAATTAATTAGTAAAATTTGAGCCGTTTTTATGCTGTATTATTAATATGTTTTCATGAAAGCAAGAAATTGTTCTGCTGTTTATCATTATCAAAATTCCAATTAGGCTCCACTCTACTCATTTTGTTCTTTGCTTTAGTATGTTAATATTTGAGGCCCCACCAATAATGAAGGCTAGAAAAAAAAAATTATTTACACATTTTTTAGATCTATACTTCCACTAACAGTCCCTAAAACCAAACCACACTACTTTGTTTCACTTCTGGCTTAGCTTATTTCTTATTCACAGTTACTTCCATTTTTACCTCCCTTTATTCTTAGTTTACCTCCCTTGGTTAACAGTTCACTAAAAAAATGTTTACTCTTTATGGCTGTTTATGTATTGAGTTTACCTCATTTGATATGCAAATCACTCTTGTTGCAATTCACACTCATCTGTCACATAAATATTTTTTAATTTTCTATTAGCCTACTTTATGCAAAATTATTTTTTTTAATGTAGTATGTAGCCTAAGAATTTTGTCTATGCATTGTGTTGAAATGATAACAAACTTGACTGGGCGTTTAAACAAAATATGATCCTGATACAAAAACCATTATATTCCTTTTTCACAAGCAATTTAAAAAAACTCCAGCTATTATTATAGTGAGGTGGTTTATTCCAATTATAAAAGCAACACCCTTTCATAAAAAGAAAAAAAAATTGCCTGTTTAGAAAAGAAAATTTGTTTTCTTCTAATTTATTGTTTCCAAAACAATTTTAGAAGTTAATTATTTAGCTAAAAAAAATTTAGTCGTTTTTTCTGCCCTTATGGTGCTGTCCCCAAGGCCAGTAATATTTTGAAAATACATGTAACAGTTATCCATCCCTTTCACTTACAAAGGTGTTCACTTTAGCATGGTTTTGTAGACATGTATACATTTTTGTTGCTTCCTTATTATTTACACTTTTATAACAAGACCGATTGCTAAACTGTGTGATCTCTACCTCTTTTGTGCTATTTATATTGCAATACAGAGGGATTACCTAAAAAAAAAACTTTATTAATATAGTCAGGTTTTTTTTTTTTAATTGAATCTATAAATATTGCTTTTTATATATGTTAAATAAGTTAAATCTGCAAGCAAAATGAAAGTTAGTTTTTAGAATTTAACCATTGTTTTAAATTAAAGGAGGCCTATTTACATGTTTGTTTTTTGCTACTAGCTCAGAAGATTCCATTTAAGATCACAGGTTTGACTCAAGACTGTAGCATGACTCTGAGTCCACCCAACTCTGATGGGTACCTGAATTAAGTTGGGGAAAGTATAGGCAGCTGGGTAAAATACTGACCATACCATCCCTTCGTATGTCAAAGTCAAGAAACATGAACTCTACTTCATCTGCCCTATAACCTTTAGGTCAGAAAGTGGAACTTTACTTATTTACATGTTTAGAATAAATCTTTGACAGATTTAAGTATCTACCATCTTATCAAGCTAATTTTTTAACCTTTGTCGTAGTCTGATCACAAATATTAAAATAAGTTTATTATTTTTTTAAAGCTGTATACATGTTGATGCTGGTACCAAAATAAATATGAAATGGCGTTGTTATTATTATTGCAGTAAATGTATTAGGATGTTGCGTTTCTATCCATCCCTTGTGGTTTTACAGCTCTACAGGATTTAGCCTGCTTCAACAACTTCTTCTACTCAGACTTGGTCGTTTTTTTCTTCCAAGTCTGTCTCGAAATCATTTATACATCAGAGATAGTTCCTGCTTTGGGGCTGGGTCATACACCATCTCCACCCAGTGGCGTAGCGAGGTTGGGTGTCACCCGGTGCGGCACTTAATGGTGTCACCCCCCAGAGGCATAGAGGCCCTTCCCAGGGACAAACTTTCAAATTTTCGATTTGCACCCCCCCCCCGAGTTTTTCTCTATATATTTTGCTATTTTTTGCCTTGGTGTCAACCCCCTAAATGGTGTCACCCGGTGCGGTCCGCACCCCCCCTCGCTACGCCCCTGTCTCCACCCTTATATTTTGGTCATACACCACATGACAAATCCAGTTTTTGGTCTGGGTTCGATTTTTTATTTAATCAATAATGCTCTTGTGGTTATTTGATAGGCTTGACTTCATTCAACAAAAACTGAAATTTCTATACCCACTTGAGGTCAGTCCAGCATAACCCTCACTCATATCTTCACTCTAGTACTGTATTAAGAGAAGTAGTTGGGAAAAAATCTGTATATATAATTCTCTTCATGGGTACCTTTCTAGGGGATCCAGACGTTTTCCCGAGAGACGCTTGCCATAAGGCCGATTTGTCGCATTCGGGCAAGTGTCTTTCGAGAATTTGTCGTAGACCCCATTGCGAGACACCACGTTGTTACTCCCCCGCTCTCTAGGCATATCGCTACTACCCTCACCTCTCTGGTGAGCGATGGTTCACGACGAATGTTTACAATGTAGAGTCCGGTCGGATTAGTGACTGCTATTAGGGGCAGATAATTTTGTATCTAACGATTTGAAACTATGGGGAGGTAACTATTTCTGCTTGATATTTTCATTGTCTTCTGTAAACTGTCATCACGGACGGCTGCTTTGACCGGGTGGGGGAGGGTTTTATGTCGAATTTACAAATTGAGAATTACTGAAAAGTAAAAAATAAAACAATTAAATAGCGGCGTATGCTACGTTGCGGGTCGGCTAGTATAATTTAATCTTTATCATGTGAGCTGATTCTATCGTCAACACTGACATAACCTGATCGTGAATCCTATGAGTCTAGGTAAGTGTCTTGACCTCCGCCGAACCCATGAGACCGACACACCGAACCCCTAGGGTTCGATCGAACAGAGGTTAAGAACCACTGATCTAAATGTTCCATGACAACTTCCGTATAGCCGGTAGACTCTTGACTCAGGTTTGTTGTTTTGTATAACCCAACACATTGATTCATCGCGGTGACGTCAGTTTCTGTCGCACCACGGGAGATAACTCATACATTGATTGTCATCTCTATGACTCAGGGTCGAAATATCAATACAATGACTGGTTCGTCTAAATACCACAACCTGCAGTTACGTAACATGCGGTCTTAGATGCATATTTACAGCAAAATAGGTGGGCGTTGTAACTTCCATTTTCTCTGCTCCTAAAGCACATTTGAAAGCACAGAAAATATGTACTATAACCGACGTCCTCCCCGAGCAAAATGTCTGAAAGAAACTCTGGTTCCCTTAGACTTTTCCGTTAGTTTTTCCTGACCCATTCCAAGTACTAATTTGAGCTGAGTGGACTCATGTATGTTCTACAAACTCAAATAAATAACTTCCGGTTAACTTAAAGGCCCTACTTATCTACCACCACTCCCTTGCCTAAAAACTTGAGCCGCATATTGTGGCCAGATTTTTGTGTCATTATTTCTGTAGCTGCCAGTTTGTACACACGCACGCAGCCCTCTTCTTTTTCATTCAAGTCTAAATCGTCACAACTAAGAACGAGGGGATTTCCCCCAATACAATTAGTCCCAAATATTACATGTCAACATGTTGTGCGCCGTTGACGTCCTCTTTACTTTCTGGATAGCCTTTGTACCTTGAGTTCACCCAGCTCTTAATAGGTACCTGACTCGAGATTAATCAAAGGTGGCTGGACTTAAAATCAGTGTTTCTTCCAGACCTTTTTTCCCCGCGGGGGGGGGGGGGGGCACTGTTAAAAGTTTATATTTTCTATATAAATTCCATTTCATTCGCGGGGGGGGGGGGGGTGGATGCTCGAACTCTGCTTAGAATTAGAACCGACCACATAAACAGGCTACACTACACACGCTAAAAGTTGTTTTATTTAAGAGTCCCTGCCCCCCTCTCCTAGATGGATTGCTGTGTTCAGCTAAAAAGCCTAATCTACCCGAGGGTTCGAACTTGGGACTGTTTTGGTAAGCAGTCATACTACTCTCTACACCTGACGACGCCGTTCCTCCTCTCGCAACTGTTTTAAATCACTTGTCATTACGCCTCCCCATAAAACTACAAAGCGCCTCTCTAATCCTTTGTATTATTTGTAAGTATTTGAGTTAGGAACACATAGAAATTCAAATAGTAGGCAAAGATAAATTGAAAGATAAAAGAAGTATAACTAAATAAATAAAGACATCATTTTAATTGAGTTGTGAGTTTAAACCCTCTGGCAGATTAGGCTCGATCCCTCCCAACACTAAAAATTAAGAACGAAGAAGAAGAAGAATTGAGTTGTGCAGATAAAAGAGATATGTGTGCTGGGGTGTTGTTTGTTTTACTTTTATCCAACTAGAATAACACTGATCTTCCCGCATCTTCACTATTCAACACATTTTGTTTTGGTAATACAGTGATATCCTGATGGTTCCCAGAAAGAACCGCAACGGAAAAAAGCGCAACGGAAAAAAGCGCAAATCAAAAAGCGCAACGGAAAAAAGCGCACACGGAAAAAAGCGCAAAGAGAAAAAAGCGCACACAGAAAAAAGCGCAAAGAGAAAAAAGCGCAAACGGAAAAAAGCGCAAAGAGAAAAAAGCGCACACAGAAAAAGCGCAAACAGAAAAAAGCGCAAACGGAAAAAAGCGCAAACAGAAATAAGCGCACACAGAAAAAAGCGCAAAGAGAAAAAAGCGCAAAGAGAAAAAAGCGCAAACAGAAAAAAGCGCACACAGAAAAAAGCGCAAACAGAAAAAAGCGCAAACGGAAAAAAGCGCAAAGAGAAAAAAGCGCAAACAGAAAAAAGCGCAAACAGAAAAAAGCGCAAACGGAAAAAAGCGCAAAGAGAAAAAAGCGCAAACGGAAAAAAGCGCAAACGGAAAAAAGCGCACACTGAAAAAAGCGCAAACGGAAAAAAGCGCAAACGGAAAAAAGCGCAAACAGAAAAAAACGCAAACGGAAAAAAGCGCAAACAGAAATAAGCGCACACGGAAAAAAGCGCAAAGAGAAAAAAGCGCACACAGAAAAAAAGCGCAAAGAGAAAAAAGCGCAAACGGAAAAAAGCGCAAAGAGAAAAAAGCGCAAACGGAAAAAAGCGCAAACGGAAAAAAGCGCAAACAGGAAAAAACGCAAACGGAAAAAAGCGCAAACAGAAAAAAGCGCACACAGAAAAAAGCGCAAACGGAAAAAAGCGCAAACAGAAACAGAAAAATGCGTAACCAGAAAAAACACAACGAAAAATGTGCTAAAGAGAAATTTAGCACAAAGACCATATGGACTAGATGACACATTTATACATGACTGTTAGGGCTGCTGTGAGAGTGTCGTGTTTGATCACGTGATCTACTACCATTTAAAGCGTACCACTACCATCTGCATTCCCATCACCACGATACAGGCGATAATCACTTTACACAATGCCTATTATTTTCTTGGTCAATAATTATTCAACTACTATTCTCGTATAAACATAAAACTATCGACATTACACGAAGTATCTTTCACATTCTCCCTAGTCATCTAGTCCACATGGTCTTTGTGCTAAATTTCTCTTTTGCACATTTTTCTTTGTGTTTTTTCTGGTTGCGCATTTTTCTGTTTCTGTTTGCGCTTTTTTCCGTTTGCGCTTTTTTCTGTTTGCGCTTTTTTCTGTGTGCGCTTTTTTCTGTTTGCGCTTTTTTCCGTTTGCGCTTTTTTTTGTTTGCGCTTTTTTCTGTGTGCGCTTTTTTCTGTTTGCGCTTTTTTCCGTTTGCGCTTTTTTCTGTTTGCGTTTTTTTCCGTTTGCGCTTTTTTCCGTTTGCGCTTTTTTCAGTGTGCGCTTTTTTCTGTTTGCGCTTTTTTCCGTTTGCGCTTTTTTCTCTTTGCGCTTTTTTCCGTTTGCGCTTTTTTCTGTTTGCGCTTTTTTCTGTGTGTGCTTTTTTCTGTTTGCGCTTTTTTCTGTTTGCGCTTTTTTCTCTTTGCGCTTTTTTCCGTGTGCGCTTTTTTCTCTTTGCGCTTTTTTCCGTTTGCGCTTTTTTCTGTTTGCGCTTTTTTCTGTGTGCGCTTTTTTCTCTTTGCGCTTTTTTCCGTTTGCGCTTTTTTCTCTTTGCGCTTTTTTCTGTGTGCGCTTTTTTCTCTTTGCGCTTTTTTCCGTGTGCGCTTTTTTCCGTTGCGCTTTTTGTTTTGCGCTTTTTTCCGTTGCGCTTTTTTCCGTTGCGGTTCTATCCGGCCACCTATCCTGATATAGGAGATTTTTTTTCTAGAAACGAACCTTCGAGTGAGTGTTTTGTTTTGAAATACGATCAAAATTTGAAATACGAGGAAACTAATTAGCGGGTAACGAAATTGGTACTAAAGAAACATCCTGAACAAAAGTTGCAACCATTCATGCATCGGTGCTATTCAATGACACTAGTCTACTTCATTTTCACAACACTCGGAGAGGAAGAAGAAAACATTCTTGGGCATTTTTTTTTTTCTTTTTTGTAATTTTTTTTTTAAACGGCCTACTGGAGAAAGTAAGCAAAACGTGGCGAAAAAGGCAAAAGACAAGTGGATAAAAAAGGATGACGAAAATTAATTGAAACAGAACATTGTACCGTAGTTTCAATTACCGGTATGTTCAGTGAAGTTTAGTTAATCTCCATTAGGTTTGGGGGGAACGT